CACATGGGCGGCAAGCCACTCCCACAAAGGAGGCCACACCCACAGAGTAGGTTCCAACAATTTTTGAAACGCACCACTGGTTTCTGGCATTGCATTTAGGACTATCAGTATATAAAGCAGAGATACATAATGAAAGTAATGATGCCCTTTAAGGCATGTTTACCTCCTGGTGAGTTTTCTTGGCAATAAAATAGAAATGATGTCATTGCTTTTTCTGGGTTGTTTGATCAACCTCCATTATAGCCAACAGCTAACTAGGGGCTGCCATTTGCTGAAGCCTTTTGTTATATAAGAATTATTTAAATATTTCATCAGATTCACCCATGAAATGGTAAGTCATATCTGTATCTTGAACACACAGAAAATGCTTTTTGCTACTTTGCCAATACTTTATAAAAGCATATTCAATCTATAGCACATTACTGTTTTGCATCTTTTATTAATTTCCCACTTGTTACTACTTCCTAATATGAGCACCTTCAGAAAAAAAATAGCTGTGTATTTCATCTTGGAAATAACCAAACCGATTCTAGGTAATGGAAATATTACAGTTTTGAATTATTTTCATCAACTTTTTTTTAAAAAAAACACATAGTCAAAAAAAAAAGATAAGATTGTACTACTTTTGAACTTCCTTTAAAATGTAGTTACAGAGGAGTATTAGGGCATATTGTGAATATTGAATCTTCAGCAGAATCTTCAGAATCTGTACACAATCAAAAGCAGGAGTTGTCTTAATAGAAAAGCTGAGGTAAAAAATTGAAATGAAAATATATTTCAGCCCATGTTTACATCATGGAAGTTACATCAGGCTGGTTGGTCTCCATCCCACATACTTTTGAGAAGCAGTACAACATATGTAGAAAAAAAATTCAGTACAACCTCTGAATCAACCTTCTTCTTCCTAGTTTATGTCATGCCTTCCACGTGTCTTTGACATTCTTAAAATATTGCATGAATTAATGGAAAGCAGGGGCAGAAATACGAATTAAAAATAACTATTAAATAGACCAATAAAAATCCAGGAAGAGTCATCTACTAGAAATTATTGATGGACTATGGATATACTATATTTGTGTCTGTTTTGGGATAATACTTTAAATAAAATGGAACATCACTTTGTAATCAATTCTCTCTATTTGTACTATCTGTAAAATTATTAGTAACTGGTTTAAAATCAAATAATTACAGCAACAAAGAGAATGTTAATCATATATTAATCAATGAATTGATAAATTAATGCCAGTGCTCTATCCCTAGTATGTACTATCAATAATAATATAATACTACGACACTGTCAGGCACGAAAGTCAGATTCACACGTTAAGGTTCAATTAAACTGATTTATTGCTAAAAATCTATGCATAGCAATCTATTTGCCTAGTGGTCAGCACCTGCTTAGAGATAGATAAGGATCAATAGTTTGGACTATTTTGTGTCTATATGAGGATTCTAGGTTTTTCACTGAACTTCTGTCATCCCTTCTCTTACAGACATAAAGGTAACTTGTAGGTTTATGCTATGTCAGTGTTTCTCAACCTTGGCAACTTNGTATGTGCTGCTGTGCAAGTGTTTATCTGTAGTACCGAATGTTCCAAGGTTTTTTTTTGCTGATCTTATAAAATTGCATACCATAATTTTATGGACAGACACATGGACACAGGAGTAACACATGTCTAGCATATTGGTAAGAAAACACACAACACACTGACATACGTACAGTCACACATGATTTAATGGACTCTTTGCACACACACAACAGTGTAGTTGTTACAATACAGTTCAGACCTGTTTCATACACAAAAGCCTACTCTACAAACAAACATAAAGCACACTCTCATACTTGTATAATAAATACGGATTATAGACCCACACTGGTTTATAGTTGCTCAAACTGTATGCACATAAACACTATTAGATTGAAACATCCACCCATACAACATAAACATGAAACAACACATACTTGAACTCAATAGCAGGAGTCTATCACATACACACATGTAACCTCTCACAACAAGCCATCACATGCACACATACAGATTACTGGTACGTGGTTCCCACATCGACATGTGGTGTCTCCTCCTTCTGTCTCTTCTGGGGAAGGAAAATGAATGCATTCAGTCCACTGCAATGTCACCGATGGTCCCTGCACTCAAAATCCCATATAATGCACAAGTAGAAAACCAAAGACCTATTAACCCTTGTACATAAATTCACTTGTGATGCAATGGGTGGCTACATAAATTAGTTAAATAAAACCCAATTCATTACTTCCATAGTGAACATTAAATATAAGCCAATGTCTATGAGTTTGGAATACATATTTTTTCACAGCTAAGAAAAAGTATACAAAAAGAAGGAAATACATAGATATTTGTTCTGCGCTGGACTGAAAGAGTGTTGAATATGCAGCAAAAGGTCAAAACTTTATGGGAAGCTAGACTGTGTGGTTTTTCCGCCTGAAGCGGGATGTGTTTGTTTTTAGTCTGTGGTGTCTTGTTTTATTTTATGTTTTTAATTCCTTTAATTCTTAATCATATTTTGTAAGCCGCCCAGAGTCCATTCAAGTGGACGATTCTATTAAATCTAATAAATAATAATAACAACATGTCAACATTTGGTGTTGAGATAGTAATTGTACAAAGGTGTTTTTTTTCTTCAAACTGCAGAAATCTGAGGTCAGTTTCTGGCAGAGCTGGGTTCCTACCAGTACGCACCTATTCGGTAGAACCGGTTCGTCAAATCTACCGAACCGGTTAGAAGAGGTTCCACCAGTGGACCCGGAAAGCAG